TTACAGTTTTGATGCTGTTTAATTACGTGGGTGGGGAGAGTAAAGATTGGTGACGCTGCATGCCTTTCTCAGTCTCTTTCCACCGTCATTCTGTCTGTCTGTTTTGTTTCTGAGACAAATTTTACTATATATTTCTGGCTGGAACTCACAGAGTTCCTCTGCCTCCTGAGTGCTGGCTAAAGATGTGTAATAACCTCCTGACTTGATCTGAATGTGTGAGACAGGGCTGTCACTGCACATGGAGCTTGCCATTTTAGCTAAACTGGACACAGCAAACCCCCAGCAAAAACTTTGCCTGTTTTCCTCCTGCTCGGTGCTGGGATTGCAGATGGAGCCAGTGTGGGGGCTGGGATCTGAACTCAGGCTGCACAGCAAGCGCTTCACCCGCAGAGCCATTGCCCTGGCTCTCCTTGACAGTCACTGTTCAGATCATCTCCCTCCTTACAAACCCAAGCCTTTTGAGTTTTCCTCTTGCTGTTCTTGTACTTTAACTCTCTTGAGTGTTGGTATCCTCAGCTATTTAAGGGCCACGGCTTGTACACAAAATTTATTACCATATAATAACATATTGCCTATGTTATTGTAAGAAATAATGTATTGATTGGCTTTCATTGATCAGTCCATGAGCATGTAAGTTCACAGTGTGGGCAGACCCACAGCAGCGCGAGGGAGCTGGACTGAGGGCAAGGTTCTGTTCTGGTACTGCTCTCTTCTGAGGGGAGTGGGGCAGTAAGGTAGATCCCTACGGTGTTGTCAGCTGAGCCACTCTGCGCTGTGGGCTTTCAGCTTCTTTGGCTTTGTCTTGTGAGCTGCAGTTCTTGACTCTGCTGTCATCTCCCTCCCATTTCCCATCTCTTCAGAAAGGTGCAAAGTTCCTTAGTGATGCAGAGATCATCCAGCTGGTCAATGCCAAGCACATCCCGGCCTACAAATTGGAAACTCTAATGGAAACTCATGAACGTGGTGTGTCTATTCGTCGACAGCTCCTATCCACAAAGCTTCCAGAGCCTTCTTCTCTGCAGTACCTGCCTTACAGAGATTATAATTACTCCCTGGTATGTTATTTGATTAATTAAGGAGGGCTTGCTTTGTAACTTGACTTTACACTATTAATTGTTTTCCATGTTTTTGTTGTCATTGCTGGGAGAGTTTATAAAGATTTTGTTTTTCGAGAGAGTTTCTCTGTGGAGCTCTGGCTGTTTTGGAACCTCCCCCTGTAGACCAGGCTGGCCTCGAACTCAGAGATCTGCCTGTCTCTGTCTCTTGCACGCTGGGATTAAAGGTGTGCACCACCACACCCAACCAGTTTAAATATTTTTAAAGAGGAAATTTGGGGTGGGGTTGGGCCTAGTGATAGAATGTCTGCCTAACATTGGTGGGGCCCTAGGTTTGATCCCCAGCACCATAACAACATAAAGAATACATTAAAAATATTGTTTGAATATTTATAGGATTAAGTGAAGAATTGTTAGTGGTGGGGATGAGATGAGCTGTTATCCATTACAATGTAGTTCTTTATGTGCTGCCCACCTGTGTTTCTTAGGTGATGGGAGCTTGCTGTGAGAATGTAATTGGCTATATGCCCATCCCTGTCGGAGTGGCAGGGCCTCTCTGCCTGGATGGGAAAGAGTACCAGGTTCCAATGGCAACAACAGAAGGCTGTCTTGTGGCCAGCACCAACAGAGGCTGCAGAGCAATAGGTGTAAGTTGGAATTTGTTTACTTTAAGGTATAAGGCAAACTGGGCAGGGTAAGGAAGCCAAGACAGGTTTGGGGACAGTCAAGGGCTTTGAAAGAGGCTGAAGTGTTTCCTGGATTAATATGTTCCCATAATCCTCTGCTTAGCTTGGTGGAGGTGCCAGCAGCCGGGTCCTTGCAGATGGGATGACCCGAGGCCCAGTGGTGCGTCTTCCTCGTGCTTGTGACTCTGCAGAAGTGAAGGCCTGGCTCGAGACACCTGAAGGGTTCGCAGTGGTAAAGGAGGCCTTCGATAGCACCAGCAGATTTGCGCGTCTAGAGAAACTTCATGTGACTATGGCAGGACGCAACCTGTATATCCGCTTCCAGTCCAAGACAGGGGATGCCATGGGGATGAACATGATTTCCAAGGTAAGCATGGAGCCACTGTATCTGGAAGGGTTCAGGATGGACACATCCGGAGCTGACTCTGTGGCCTTGATCTCATGGTGATTCTTGTGCCTCTGCTTTCCTGAGTGCTGGGATTACTCTGGTCTACATCCAGCCGTATTTTTTTATTGATGCACCATGTCCATATATAACATACATAAGAGTTCATTTATTTCACATGTTTATTAAAAGCTTAATATTGCTTGATATAGCTTGGTTTGATAGTGCTTTCTGTTTTAAAAAAAAATGTATATGAACATTTTGCCTGCATTTATGTCTGTACCCCACTTGTGCGCCTGGTGTTCACAGAGACCGGAACAGAACATCAGATCCCTCTGGAATTGGAGTTTCATACAGTTGGGAGCCTCCAGTGGGTGTTGGGACTTGGACTTAGGTCCTTAGGAAAAACAGCTGGGGTCCTAAATTGCCGGGTTGTCTGCCTAGTCACACTGTTTTAGATTCGACACTGTTGTGAATGTACTCACAAGCGTTGGGAGGAATCTGTTGTTAGCACTTGAGAATTTTTTCCAATAATTCACCTCCCCAAGGAGGAGTGGGACCAGGGTTTTTAGCTCAGCACAGGTTAGTGTGTGGGACTCCAGGTCACTTCTGAGCATGCCCCAGCCATTCCAAAGAGCTTTGTTCTCAAATCTTGCAACTGACATTTTCTAGAGACTTTTTTGTTTTTGTTGTTTTCCTTTTCCTTTTTATTATTATTTATTTTATTTTGCTTTTTGGTGGCAGGGTTTCACTATAGCCTTGGCTGGCCTGGAGCACATTATGTGGGCCAGGGTGACCAGCAACTCATGATCAGTTTTCGTGTGTCTGACTCTAGTTGCTGGGATTATAACCATGATTAGCATGCTCAGAAACACTTTAAGATATATAACATATCTGGTTTATTTGTATAATCCATTCATTTATGTGTGGTATACACTTTATTTTGTTGATAACAGATTTTGTTTATGAAGATTATTCAGAAAGAGGAAAATAATAAATGTCTAAGTTTTTTAAATTCTCAATAAATAGTATGGTGGTTCCTCAACAGCTTGCAAATAAAATTGCTGTGTCACCTCCCAGTTCTGTTGGACAGTCTCAAAGAGTTGTTAGTACACTCGTGGTCACAATATCATTTGCTACACTAGGCATTGGGCAGAGTGGCCTAAGCATTCATTGGGTAGTGCATGAGGAAGAGATGGTTCGTGTAGACACTATTCTAAGTGAAATCGCCGGTTAGAAAATACAGTTGCACTTACCTGAGCTGACCAGAGTCATCAGGGTTGTGGCCACCAGTAGGTGTTGGGCTAGCAGGACTGCGGAGCATTCGCTTATCAGATAGAGGTCGGGACATTAGCTCCATGGTAACTTGGGTGTACTGAATGACTCCATCACACACTTTGATTTGCTTCTTCCTAGGGCACGGAGAAAGCACTTTTGAAGCTTCAGGAGTTCTTCCCTGAGATGCAGATCCTGGCAGTTAGTGGTAACTATTGCACTGACAAGAAACCTGCTGCCATAAACTGGATCGAAGGAAGAGGAAAGACAGTTGTGTGTGAAGCTGTCATTC